TTTGTTCTCTTCAAAAAATGGGAACCTGATAATAACCCGTATACGCGTTTGTGTAAGCTATAGATATTTTATTCCAATTATTAATAATAGAATCTGTTAGCTTAAATAATTTTGAAACCGTAATTTAATAAAGAATTTGGAAAAATTGAATTCGAAATTTAAATATTAAAATACGAGCCATCTGTAATTTTGTTCAGATTCTCAGCATACTCGCATTGTGGTTGAAAATCCCGTTGTCGATCTGGATGGCGATGAAATGACACGAATAATTTGGAAAAATATTAAAGAAAATGTTATTATTCAATTCATTGATTCGATTTATTAATTCGATATCTCGTCTTTCTAAGAATTTGTATCTTTTTTTTTGTACTACATTATCAGCTTATCTTGCCATATGTTCAACTTGATATTAAATATTATGATTTGGGAATCGAAAGTCGCGACAATGTGAGTATATTATTACTTGATTAAACTTTTTATTACTTTGATTAAAGGTTGACATTCTCTCAATGTGACTGTGAAAGACCAATGATCAAATTACTATAGATGCTGCTAAAGCAATTCAAAGATACAATGTTGGCATAAAATGTGCGACCATTACGCCGGATGAAGCGAGGGTAAAAGGTAAAATATATATTATTTGCATTATATAATCTTTGCGTCATTTATATATCATACAATTAAAGATGTCCTATTAAATCAACAAAACAAGAGTTCAATCTGAAAAAAATGTGGAAATCTCCAAATGGGACCATTCGTAATATTATAAACGGCGTAGTTTTTCGGTTAGTTACTTAATGTGCTCACTTTTGTCACTGCAGAATATAATATTTTACATTCCTTGCCATTTCAGTGAACCTATACTATTGAAGAGGGTTCCTCGAATTGTGTCTAACTGGACTAAGCCAATAGTTATTGGTAGACATGCTTTTGGTGATCAGGTATTCAATAAACCTTTCCATTAATTTATAATGATAGTGATTTGTGGGTAATATTATATTTATTTTACCATCAAGTATAAAGCAACAGATATTATTGTCAACCAGCCTGGAAAGCTTGAATTGCACTTTATCCCCGATGGAAATACTTCTTCAGCCCAATCGTGGCCAGTTTATGAATTTAAGGTGGATTTTATGCTGTTTGTCTTTTTTTTAAAAATTATTAATCTGGAATTGTAATTAAAGAGTCCCGGAGTTGCTTTGGCCATGTATAACGTTGATGAAGTAAGTCTTTTCTTTTTATTCATGCCAATTCTCCAACATCTATTAAACTTGATTCCTTTCTATTGTATTTTATAGTCAATAGAAGGCTTTGCTAATAGTAGCTTTCAAATGGCGCTAAAAAAGGAAATGCCATTGGTATTTATGGATTATACCAACTCTTATTCAAACATATATCTATTCTTACACCTTACTTTCTTAAGTATCTCAGTACTAAAAATACGATTCTGAAAAAATACGATGGACGGTTTAAAGATATCTTCCAGAATATTTACGAGAAGTAGTCTTTCTTATAACAGTCAATGACGTGTATTTACATTTATGATATATGGTATAGACTTTTTAATGATTTATTTGCAAAAGAAAATACAAAGAACAATTCGAAGCCAAGAAAATCTGGTATGAACATAGGCTCATTGATGATATGGTTGCTCAAGCTCTCAAATCAAGCGGAGGATTTGTATGGGCGACTAAAAACTATGATGGGTATGTTGAAACTGGACTACTAGTAATTATAAAGAAGCTTGTTTTATCTATTTAATAAATCAAAAAAGTCTACATTTAGAGATGTCCAGGTATTTTTGCAAATTATCGAAATTTCTTATTGGAAAATTATTTAAACTATTATTCTTGAAAGTCTGACATTTTAGCTCAAGGTAAATATGATAGTATCAATCCATTTCAAGAATCATATTCTATATAAATATTTATTTTATTTAATATAGGATTTGGCTCATTGGGATTGATGACCAGTGTTCTTGTAACACCTGATGGAAAAACTATGGAAGCAGAAGCTGCGCACGGTAAGAATTTTTCGGATGAACTGATTATTTCATAATTATCATGCAAAAAAATTAATTGGATTTATTTGATTCTCCAGGTACGGTCACAAGACATTATAGAGAGCATCAAAAGGTATATTTTTATGAAAATATAATCTGCACATTTCACCTTGTTAACTCATATTTAATTACTTTAGGGAAAAGAAACATCGACAAATCCTATTGCTTCCATTTTTGCATGGACGCGTGGACTCGCCCATCGAGCAAGTCTGGATAATAATGAAGCATTACTCAAATTTTCTCAGGATCTTGAAAAAGCATGTATTGATACAGTAGACATTGATGGTAAAATGACAAAGGATCTGGCATTGGCTATTCATGGGGACAAGTAAGTTAGAAAATTAAATTTCCCTTGATCCTACAGCGAATAAATTGACATTGAATTATATTGCCTTTTCTTAGACTTCAACGTGAGCATTATATAACTACCACAGAGTTTTTAGAACAAGTCAAATTGAATCTAAAACGGATCCGAAATTATTGAAATCACTTATTTTTGGAATATTTGATGACCCGCTTAATCCTTTTAGAGCTCTAAACGCACGGTAATATACATTAAAATACTAAGATTAAATGCAAAATATTAGTAAATAATTTGATCTTTTTTATTATAGATATATTAGAAATTCGATCATTTCATCTTTGACTAATATTATCGTATAGTTCCAGAAATAAGAGATAATTTCAGCCATTGCAAAAGTGATAAAATTATAAAAGAATTTTGCAATTGATTATGTAATTCAAGTCTGAATATTCAGATTGAAAATATCTAGATAAATTTATAGATTTTATTTTATTATTTTTCATATATGCTTCTAAAATACAAAATTTTCTTTATAAAAGTTTTTGATTATATTTTTTTTGTTTTCAATAATTTGAAAAAGTTATAAATTATTATTTTTAAATTAATTATATAATGTAAATAATTATGATCCAGTGCAAAAAGATTTGTATTTCAAATTAAAAGTTAATAATTGCTTTTCAAATTATATAAGTATATAAGCTTAAATATATTTCAAACTAAAGATTGAATAATTATTATAAAATTAAGTTTTAAAGTTTAATAATTAAATATAATTATAAATATATATAATAATAATTAAAAAAAATATAAAGAAATATTATTTATATTTTTTTATATATAGTAATTAACAAAATTATAAAATTTAAAATCAATTTTATTAATAAAATATAGTAAAAATTAAAATTTTTCTTTATATACTTTAATTAAAATAAAATTTTTATAATAAGAATAATTCTTTTAGAAAAAATCTATAAAAATATAAAGAAATATATATTAAATTATAAATAATAAATTTTAATTTACTATAAAATAAAATTATTTCTTAATAAAATTATAAATTTTAATATAAAGAAAAATTTTTTAATTTTTATTATTAAATTAACTTCTTAATTTTATAATTTTACTAGTTATTGTGTCAAAATTATAAAATCAGAAAGTTGATTTTATTAATAAAATATAGTAAAAATAAAAATTTTCTCTTTATATTAAACTTTATAATTTTATTAAAAAATAATTTTTTATTTTTATATTAAAATTAAGTTTATAAGTTATAATTTAATATATAATTTTTTTAAATTTTTTAAATTTTTTCTGAAAGAATTATTCTAATTATAAAGTTAATATAAAATTTTTTTTAATTAAATTTTATTTTTAATTAGTAAAAATTTTTATATTAACTTTGTAATTAGAATAACTCTTTAAAAAAGATCTAAAATAAAATTATTTCTTAATAAAATTATAAAGTTTAATATAAAGAAAAAATTTACTATATTTATTAATAAAATTAACTCTCTAATTTCATAATTATAATTATATAATAATTTATAAAAGTAATAAAATAAAATATTAAATTATTTAATAAAATAAAAATTTTCTTTTAATATATAAATATTTATATTTTAAAATTTTTTATAAAATAATTATTTATAAGAATTTTATTTCTAAAAAATAATTGATTTTATATATAATAAAAATTTTATATAAAAATATTTAAAATATTATTTTTAATTATAATTCTAATTAAATATTCTTTAAATAAAAAATATATTATATATATAAATAATGTAATATTAAATTAGTAATTATATAGCTCAGTTAGTTATCACAAAAAAAATATAGATTTTATTATTTAATTTTATTTCTTCTTATATTTAAAATATTAAATAATACTTTCATATATAATTTGTAATTTCTGTAAATATTATTTCAATTCTATTATATTTATACAAATTTTATTTAGTTTATTATAAATTTTTTCATTGCAAAAATGTTAAAGTTGTTCTTTTGAGTGGAAGTTTGATTTTTGATTTTTTGAAATAATATCTAATTGATTAATATCATATCCAAAAGATCTTATATGTCGTAGCAATAAATAAATCAATATTTTCAAAATGTAATATATTGGGATCAAACAGTCAGGATGGCAACTTTATATATATAATCTATTACAGTTTACATTATAAAAATGATCTATACTAAATTTTAGGCATGCATAATTAAAAGAATCATTAAATTTTAAAAAAAACTGGATGGTCAAATTTAAAAAATTAAAAAACTCATAACTTGGGACGCGATATCTCAACATACAATAGGCCAAAATAGAACCATTAAGTTCGTCTAAAACTATATGAATTTATTGGTTCTATTTTTGTCCAAATTGGACCATTGGATGTTAAGATACCGCGTCCCAAAATTACCGACGTTTTTTGATTTCGCAGAATTTGCAGTAATTATTGCGGAGAAACGCAGTAAATTACTGCAATAAACTTATAATAAAACAATTTCATTTCTCATCACATATTAAATTTGTTACTACCTCTTCCATTAAAATTACATGATAAATGTCACTTCCTTATTTTTGAATATGTTCTATTCTGGGATTTGGAACGTTTCGGAATCATTATTATCTATTCGTCAGAGATCTTCTTGATAAGACTATATATTAAAAAGGATCAACATACTGCACTTAAATAATTTTGTTAATTTATAAAAATGAACTCGAGTTTCAAAATTATATAGACGGCAGTAACTGTAAGGAAAAGAAAAGCAATATAATCCATATCGGTATCTATTAACCGGATTTCCACGCGTAAATATGATCAAAAGTTAACTATGTAACTTTGAAATTTCTTATTATTATGTTCCATATCAATATACTATATGTAAAAGGAAGCTAAGTCTTGCTTTTCGCTCTACGTTTCTTGTTCTTTTTTTTGCCGCCAGAAAATAGTTATATCGCACGCCATCACCGCCACTAAGATAAACAACATCAAGCGATTCGGTCATAATACAACTTGAACAGTTATAAAAGTAAACGATCAAGTTTTCGCGTGATCCGGCAAGTTTGCCACATCATTGGCGTATTTAGAAAGAGATAGGAGGAAATGTTCTAATGAGGAGATCGATCTATAATCAATTGCTCATTTTGAGGATGATTCCGACTTTGCTTTTTTACTGGGATAGATGAAAAAAAATCCTCATTATTCACTCTTGATTCGACGAACATAATAAAATAATGGTCGTAATAACACAGATATCACGTAATAATAAGTTAATAGTAAGGTAATTAAACATAGGCTCTATTTTCTGGTTGTTTGTCTTCTATTTAAAATCGAATGAGTGTACGTATAATTAAATAACAAGTATGCAAAAAAAATAAATAATGATATATATTACAAAAATTCTGGTGATCTGTGATGGTGATGATGGTGATGATGATAATGATGATGATAATGATAATGATGATGGTACAAGGGGAATAATTAAATAAATGTCTTTTGAAATAAAAATGAAAGAGAAATAAATAGCAAAAATTGTCGATATCACTTTCCAATGTTTTTGTTATGAACTAATAAAAAATACCGAAGAAAGAAATTGAGACAAAAATCAATAAAAAATCATAATGTACCCAAAATCAATCAATTACAACAAATTATTATTATTATTATTATTATTATTACTACTACTACTACTACTACTACTATTATTATTATTAGGTGATATTACAGAAAGTTCTACTTCTTCCCCGCCCTCTGTGCCCCTCCGTCCTCGTCCACCATTATTTTCTGTATCACTATTAGAATTGTTCAGTGGTGAACTTAGTGGTGACGGAACACGACGGAACAAATTACTCGGCAGCGTTCTACTACGATGAATAGGCGACGAAGGAGACGAAAACCTATTATTGTTATTATCAATGTTTCTTCGTGGTGTTGAAGTGGCCAGACTTTGAGCGCGATGAAGGTCAACGCGATCTTGTATGGGCCGATATATCGAGCGTCGGAACAACTCGAACCCACTTTCTTCGCCGGAGAAGGCGAACCCAGTGAACGATTGTCGTTTGCCGGAACTCATAAAGAGCATTTGATCTTCGGATCGAAGAGACATTGTTCGTGGCAATGTTGCGGCTTTCACTTGCGGTTCTGGTATTTCTTGTTCAGAGTCACTTTCTGGATACTCGTGTTGTGCTGTCGAAGCGCCACTTGACTCGTCAATCTTTCTTGGTGCTATTGGTATTTCATCTTCAGGAGCCTCGTGCGATCGTAGTTTCTTACGATGTTTTCTTTTCTTTAATCGATAAACTTGCTCGCGTATAATATCGACATCAAATGGCCAATACGTTTTATGTAAATACTTTACAGTGAATCTCGGTAAAATGCTAATAAACACCGCCAACGATATCGTAAGCCAAAATTCCACTTCCGTAAACAGGATCTGATCCACACGAAAGAACCCAACCGATGCAACTAACGAATAAAATTCTGTCCAAGCATAAAACGAAATGATACTAAGTCCAATGATCACAAAAATCGGCCACGTCCAATTCAAGATATTTAATCCGACATAAAGATTTGTGGTTGCAACAACTGAACCAGCGACTAGCGTCCCCATTTGTTGCAGTCCATTGTTGTCGAGTCCATTGGCATGTGATTTTCCATGCAACATTGTGGCGTATGGGATGAAAAAACAGATGAGGGATTGGTAGAATGCGTCCAGCACGTATAACCAGAACTTGGATTTTGTAAAGTCCTGTTGGAGGATGCCACGTTTGTATAATTGTGGATATTTGAGCGACGTTTTTGCGTCAACGTCTTGATCGAAGGCACCTTTTTTTTAAAAAAAAAATTAATAATTATTCTTCCGGACTTTTGCCAAAATGACGAGAAATAAGCCAATTTGGTACATACCAAGAAACATGACAGGGAATGCAGTAAATACAAGATTATAGAACATAACAAACGTGTAATCGTAAAGTAATTGAGCAGTAAATCTAAATTAAAATATCAAATTTAAAGAATAATTAATTTCAAAGATATAAAGTCATTGTATTTATCGTAAAACTATATTTACCCAGCATAAATTTGAAACCAAAACAATGCGATAGTCCACACGATATTCTTGTAAAAGAAACATGAAATCATCTCCGCAATACGAAGATACGACCAACGACCATGAACCAACAAAAGTTTTGTCAGGTATCGAAATTGTGCAACCGCGTAATCAGCGGCCATTGCTGCTTGTCGACCTTCTTCACCAGCGATACCAACACCGATGTTTGCTTCTTGAATCATACTAACGTCATTAGCACCTAAGAATTCAATTCGACATGTAAGCATCACGAATCATGAAATGATCGTAAACATAATCCAAAGTCATCGAGAAATATAATTACCATCTCCAATCGACAAAGTCATGGCGTTCAAACCATTTTTTACCAACTCAACAACCTGTGCTTTCTGTAACGGACTCACACGACAACAGATCACTGCCTGGCACTGTTTGCCCACATCCAGCAATAAATTTTTGACCTCTGGATTAAGTGCATACTTTAACGTTAGCCCATCAATCACCAACGCATGGCGATCATGCGTTTTTTCTAATTGTGGACCAAGCACCGTATCTAGTGCTTCACGTAATTGACTAGCGGTACTTTGTTTATCAGATGCATTAACAATGATAAGTTGCATGTCTTTTTGCAGGAGATTACACGCGAATCCTATATTTATTGCTGTTTCGGTCTTGTCACCGGTTAGTACCCATAATTTTATTCCGGCTTGTGCGAGGGTTGCAATACATTCAGGAACGCCTTCTTGAAGACGATCTTCAATTGCGGTGCCACCCATTAGTGTGAGTGAATGCTCAATTAGTTCACATGCTTCTGCTATTTTCTCTTCGCGGTCGTTTATGCTGGATGAGGCTTCAGCGTATTTTTGCGCCCAGGTATTGTATTCTTCATCGGATATTACTCGATATGCAACACATAATGTTCGAAGTCCTTTAATTAACCATAACGGAAGGATTAAGATTGTTATTCATATTATTCATGTAAAGATAACTCTGATGTGTAAACATACCTTCATTGGCAAAGACTTCTAAATCTGCTAATGTAGTTTCTTTTAATGTTTCATCCCGTCCTTTTTCCAATCTCTCATAAATAATACTGTCAGCACCTTTACAAATCAAAATCACGCCACCTTCTGGAGGCCTAACAATCACCGACATACGTTTCCGTGTACTATTGAATTCTAGCACATTCAACAACGTGAATTCCTTTTGTTCACCCATCACCTCAATCACTAATGTATCTTGATGTCGATCAAGAAAAACGAACCCTACATCACGAGCAGCGCCCACCAAAGCAGCCTCGTCCGGCGACTGAGCCTTATAATCAATCAAGAATGAATTATTTTGATCAGGCCGATCGGCAAGAACAGTATGACAAAGAGCGAGCGCTGAAAAGAAATCATGAATTGCGCGTGACTGTTGGTTCTCTATTTTTAGATCGTGAAATAGGTTTGAATCAATAAATGTGACGTTCGACGAGACGTATTGATTGTCAAATAGTTTGCTCATCTCTTCCAACATTAATTTTTTTTCTTTTTCGAGATCTATATTGTCATCCGCATCGTAGTTCCTTCCTTCTAGCTTCTGTTGTAGTTTTGCACCACGAGTCGTGTCCGTTTCGCCTTTACCATATGAAACGCCGTTGATCGTGCATTTCTTGAATTCCATCACGTTCTGTGTTAAAGTGCCTGTCTTATCCGAGAAGATGTATTCTATTTGGCCGAGGTCATCGGAAATGTTCCAGGTTTTTGGCGTACATGGGTAATCAAGTTTCTCATAGTATATATCAACGTCAGAGTGAATGAAATATGCCTATTATCAAGGCACAAATTAATTTTAATTTATTTATGGCATTGTAAATATAGCAGCAGAAAAAATAATTACCTGAACCGATTTGACCAGTTCAATAGTGATGTATAATGAAATAGGCACAATATTTTGAAAGATAATTAAGCATACCCTAAATAATAATAATAATAAATGGCAGTCAAGATCCATTCTATCTGCAATATGTTTCAAGGTGATAAATTTTATATATATTTTGAAAGACACTTACCAAAAGGTCATGAAAGCACTTTCAAGCGATGATTGAGTATTATTGGGTCCGTTGTCTTCGAAAAAATCGGCGGAACTTTCTGACTGTGCTGTGTTCAACGCGTCAGCGATCGAGGAGCCCAAGCAGAGACAGAATAAAATTATAAAGTTCATGGTAACCTGATCAATTTATAGGTAATTGCAATAATTATTAGGGTCAAGTAATCGAATCGAATTTTTTAAGATTGATTTAAATATTTACAATACTCGGATAATAAAAAAAATACAAACATGAAAATCTGTTTCAACTTCAATTCGACTCCGTTTACTCGGTGTGTCTCCAGAATTCAACATAATTTTTGTATCAGTACCAGTAAACAACACCAACCCAATCACCCACTCAGTATTTCTTAAGATACATCCTCGCAAAAGTACATCATTAATAGATACAGGTTCAACTTTTACAGCAGCAGCAGGTTGCTCTTCGACCACAATAAGATCACTGAAATTGCTAATACGATTATTATCAGAGATGACATGCAACGCTCCTGTATAAGAATAGAGATTCGAGTGTGGTGGCTCAGATTCAACGTAAAAATGGACATTCTCACAATCACTCTCTGAAACTACATGTGAGGTTGACGGGACAGCATGCCGAACTTTAAGATTTGTTTCTCCGTCCAGATTTTTTGTTTCAACGTAGCAAAGACCGTCTGGTTCACTTGTTGAAAGGATTATCATGTCGGCTGGAACTGCTTCGTCATTTTTTAATTTTACGAGGTCGCCAACTCTTACGTCTTGCCAACGACTTGGAGTCCATCGTGCACTTGTTGGGTTATTTTCATTTATTGTGATTGTTGGTATATCTTTGCCTGTTGATCCCTGCCTTTGAGTTTTATTATCTCCTCGCCCTCCCCCAATTCTGTAGCCTAGGAAACTCAACAAACTACTAAAAATCCTTTTCAAATATTTTTTACGAGTGCCATCAGACGCACCAACATTCACATTATTCCACCCAGTCAACTTCTGTGTAATCGACCGATTCAGTAAATTATCCTGAGTTCTCCGTTTATAATCTTCGAAAGCATCTTTAATCCCTGTGATGATGATGATCGACGCCAACGGGGAAACCACCATAAATACGGAATTATCACCACCAATTGCCGGCACTAACTGCAACACCACCAAAAATAAGAAAAACACATTTGCCACTCTACGAAATTGTTCGAACAAATTTTTCGGCAAGAATGTGAACAGCGTGTATTTCGCAGTCCGGATTTTGTTTGGTACGTAGACTGCTAACGGTTCGCCATTCTGATCCAGTTCACTTGAGGGTAATGGTGTGTTGACATATATGCGACGCTTTGGTTGCGTATATGTCGTCGATGATCTAGAAAGTTTTCGAGCCGCCACTTGCTCGTCTGAATCATTGTCTTGTGGTTTGTTGCGCTTTAAAAGACGCGTTAGGAAGTTCATTTGTTATATTGTCCACGCACACACACAGAGAGAGAGAGAATGTCTGCCTGTATCTTTTCACCCTCTCTCTATACTCTCACTTTCTCTCTCGTACTAAAGACGATGAGTTGTATAAGGAAAAATGTCTGGTTAATAATGTATTATAAAAAGAGAAGGAAAGTTTTTGTCTATAATTTTTCTAAATAACGACAGTTTGGTGTATTTGCCACATGCAGATGGAAAGAGCCTCGCTTCTTAATCGAGTCGACTAAGTGAGCAGTTCAAATCAAGCATAGGAAAAAAAAAAACGACGAACGAAAGGAGAATGAATATGCTCGCTCGAAAATAATGAAGAAAGCTTGATAGGTGTTATTCTATTATTTGTTTGGTATATCAAATACACGAAACTGTTGGAATTCTAAAAAACGACTTTTAAATAAAATGAATGAGTTAAATAATAAATAATAATAGTAATAATAGGAAATATAATCATGGAAAGAGCGGTTGTTGTTTACAATTATCAAACAAAAACGATATACATGCATACGAGACAAACCCGAATTCACGGAATTATTATAACCGAAAAAAGAGCGAGCAAAATTCGCACAACAAACAGCGTGGATGAAATTACAAATGCAATGCACCAACCTTTCTCACCGTGGATTTATCAGCGTTTACGCAAAAGATCGAGAAATTATTTATTATTATTGCCTTGTTGGTCGTTTTTATTAAATAAATAATGGGTAATCAAAAAAAGTAAAAATCCTTTTGGCACATTTGTTATCTAAGTTTATCGTTTTATAGTTTTTATATAAAAGGCAGGGATGTTGATGAGTATTTTTGTGTGAGTGTGTGTCGAGTTTTTTGCGTGTGAGTGGTTGTTACGGTTGTTCAGGGGAAGTAACAAATATTTCTCTGAAGATTCGAATAATCGTGCCGGTGATGGTGGCTCGGCAATAACACTCTACTGTGTTATCGGAGACATTAAAGTATTATCGGGTCATATTTGTACTTTTGAATTTGAGGATTTCCCGAGTATGAGGTGTGATGCATAATTTCAAATCTGCTTGTTTTTTTTGATTTAATTGTTATTATTTCTTGTATGCAAAAACAAAAGCCACACAGCAGCCCGACGAATAAATTTCCCCAGCCACCATAGCCCTCTCCCTTCCACCTGGAGTTATAACTAACTCGACTAAATATTTTTTTGAAAAGGATTTACATGCAGTTGAGAGGGTAAATTCAAAAAAATCTTTAATTGTGAATCTCATGAATGTTTGCACAGGTAGCTTAACTTTTGACAAAATAAGAAGTAAAAAACTCGGATTTCATCAGGAGTCAATAATAATGAATATTCTCGTTGGCTTCAATATCGTCAAGATAATTTAGATACGTAAATCCCCATTTGCGTAATGATAAAAATTGAATACATGTATATGTATTTAATAATACATGTACACCAAAACAAGCGTTTTATGTTTTCAATAAATGTACCAGAAATTAGCCTGCATTACGACTAATAATCTTTGACACTTTCGATCGTTTTTTATTGGTATTTGCACTTTTGTATAAAAGAATCACTGAATGATCCATTTCATTGATTATTATCGATGAAAGTAATATTTCTACTTGGATTTTTATATGAGCTACCGCTAAAAGATCATCATAATTCTCAATTTAAAGATGACCATTGACTCTTTATAATGCACATTCTATTTTATAGTTATAGCAACCTTTATGAGATATCATTATAAAGGAATGATTTTATATAGCTGATTCTTGCTTATAGAAAGGTTCGATTGTATATTAATTATAAAAAAGTTTTAATATGTGAATTTAAACTGAATACTAAAAATCTTTATTGAGAAGCATATATGTTAGTAATTATTACTTTTGCATTCAAATTTAATTAAATTCAAAAATTAATTTAACAAATTTTAAATAGATACTAAAATTTTTTTTATTCTAATGCTTGAAAATAATTTACTAACTTATTATAGCATGAAGATAATTTTAATGTTATTTTTGGATTTAATGATATTTAAACTTTTCATAAATGATGATATTATATTGTTGCTTTTTAAAACTCTGATTATAATGAAATTTTATAAAAAAGATTAATTCTTATAATTAATTGATCCTTGAAAAACGTGCAGCTATAGTAGAGTTTATATAACATTATAAAAAGAGCAATCATGAAAGAGATTTGTTAAAAAACAAAATTAAACTAAGAAATTTGTTAAATAAATCGGTGAAAAATACAAAAATGAATAGTTAAGATTGT